CCTTCCATCGCAGAAGCTGACTAGGGAGGCTGGGCAAAGGTCCGCAGGTGGAAACTTGCACTCACTCGCGCGTCCGTAGAAGCGGACTTGGCAATCGCAGAAGCGGAAGGCAGTGCAGGTGTGCATTTTTCCTCCGCAGGTGCGAGGCCTCGCCTGACAGCCCCATTTCGCAGATGCGAGATTTTTCTCGCAGATGCGAGCTCGCATATGCGAGTCCAGGCACCGCAGGTGCGGAAATGCATGGGCAGTGTATATATCGAAGAGTCCGATATTATTTTCATATTTTGGTCGTTTTGAGCTCGGTTAAGGCGGATTTTTGGGCGATTTTCACGAAAAATATTGGGGTAAGTGTTACTTATCCTATATTGATTATATTTTATGATTCCATACTTGTTTATATCATGAATCCGTGAATTTATGGAAGAAAAATTAGATTTTTCTAAAATCTTCCAAAAACGAAAAATTTAGATTTGAAGGTCCATTTGATATCGGAATTGGATAATTTTTGTATGGTTGAACTCGTAGCGGAACGGGTGTTCGAATTTCGCAAGTTTTTCCGGAATTTGAGATGTGGGTCCCACTGTCGAATATTTTAATAAATTTCAGATTTTTATCTGAAAAATTAGTAAATTCATATGGAATTAATTCCTATGATTCGTATTGAGTATATTGAATTGTTTATGAATAGATTTGAAACTTTTGAAGACAAATTTAAAAGGAAAAGCTGTGGTCGAGTAATTGATTGGAATTTGCAAAGTGAGATAAGTGTCGTGGTTAACCTTGACTTGAGGGAATAGAACCCTTAAATTATTTGTTATATGAAATGCATGTGAACGACGTATAGGCGAGGTGACGAGTGTCTATACGTCGTCAAATTAATTGTTTGCCTGCTTACTTGAAAAAATCATAAATTAATTATTATAATAATTGTTTCTCTCCTATTCTTTGTCAAATATTAATTGTTGAATTCCTGCATTAATTGTTACATGCTATTTGAATTATGTGTTTTAATTATTTTTTGACATTTTACATATTAAATATTAAACTGCCTATTTTTTCCCTGATTTCCATAATAATTTGCTATTTGTCATTGTTTGTTTCATAATTAAATCATAATTATTGTATGCTTGTTGTCTTATAATTTTATATTAATTGTTACATTTATTGGAGAAATTTCTTCTATAAGAATTGGTAAATGGATATGTTGGAGGAGCGGGTTACACGCCGCAACAGAATTAATTATAATGAATATATTGGAGGATTGGGTTGCACGCCGCACCAGACTTATTAAAAGTCCATATTGGAGGATCGGGTTGCACACCGCAACAGACTTATTAAAAGTCTATATTGGAGGGTCGGGTTGCACGCCGCAAAAAACTTGATTAAAATAAATATATTGGAGGAGCTGGTTGTACGCCGCAACAGAATTGAATGTCAATATATTGTGAGAGTGCGTTGCACGCTGCAACAAAATTGAATGTGAATATATTGTGAGAGCGGGTTGCACGCTGCAACAGAATTGAATGTGAATATATTGTGAGAGTGGGTTGCACGCTGCAACAGAATTGATGGAAATGATAATTGGTTATGACTGCTGAGTTGGCTTTAATTATTATAAATGAGTTACCTGATTTATTTCTATTATTGTTGTTGTTACTAATATTGCGTACAGGTAATGTAAGTGACCCCCCTTAGCCTCGTCATTACTTCGTCGAGGTTAGGCTCAGCACTTACCAGTACATGGGGTCGGTTGTACTGATATTATACTCTGCACTTCTTGTGCAGATTTCGGAGTTGATCTCAGCGGCGTGCCATAGACTTGCTCGGATTTCAGCTACTCGGAGGAGACTTGAGGTATAACTGCATGACGTCCGTAGTTCTGAAGTCCCCGCCTATTTTACTTTAGCTGTGTGTTTATTTTCATATAACTTTATTTTATTCAGACCTTTATTTGTATTATTCTAGAAGCTCGTGCACTTGTGACACCAATTCTGGGATGGTATTTAGACATCATTATTTTTATGTATTATTCACTACATTTCTGACTTTACTTCCGCATTTGTTCTTTGATTACTAATAAATTTAAAAATTATTTTAAAAATAGATAATATTATTCTAACGTTGGCTTGCCTAGCAAGTGAAATGTTAGGCGCAATCACGGTCCGAAGGTGGGAGTTTCGGGTCGTGACATCACATGTCAATAATAAAATCATCATATTTCCCCCGCACCTCATGCCCATATTTCTTTCATAACCGCACGGACAACTCAAATACCAAAATATCAATGTATATAAGATCCGCAGGATCAATTTATTTTCAATAAAGTAAGTTTATAATTTTTTTAAACCAAGTAAGAAATCATCAAAGAAATGAGTTTATTTTTTGAACTCGTTTGGGTGAAGAAAATGACATTTTAATTAAAATAAATCATCCGATGACTACTAATTTGGGTGTAAAATTTATCAAATTAAAATATAATAACAATTTCTTTAATTCAAAATAACTCAAATCTCGAAAACCAGTAAAACCCATAAACACAAATCCTCAGAGTCTTTTACAAAGAGACAAAACCAACACAATACAACAAGGAATACAAAACACATAATAAAATCAAATAATACATCACGGAAGAACAAAAGAATTTACATATCACAAAAAAACAAAATAACCAAAGACAAGTGCAGCCATAGAAAAATATCAACAAAGGGCACTTCCGAGGTACCGCCTCGTAGTCCCAACACAAATATCAACAATAACAATGCCCCCAGAACATCACAAGTCATCACAAAGCAATCCCTGATATAGCCCACCTTGTCTCGCCACGTGCACAATAATATAGTAAATGCCCGCCTTGTCTCGCCGCACGCGCATAATAATATTCCACCTTGTCTCTCCACATGTGCAAACACACACATATAGCCCGTCTCGTCACGCCGCATGTGCATATATCAATATTAACAATTGCACTGCAGAAACCTCGTGCAAACACCCGAACAATCCTCCCAACAATATCATGTGCCAATATCACAACATCTCATGAATTGTACCTCAAGTGCTCAAATATTACAACATATCACAAATTGCACATCGAGTGCTCAAATATCAAAACATATCGCAAAGTACATCTCAAGTATTCAAATATTTCAACTTGCCACAAAAATCAATAATACATCATTTTTCACAATAAGGAGCACATGGCTCGACCATAATGTGCACAAAAAACTTAACAAAAATATCCGGGAGCGAACAACTCAACAAAATAATATTTCACAATTTAACACTTTGCCTCAAATATCATTTATGGCCTTTATAACTCAATACCAATTGCAACAACATGAACTAGAAAGTAATTCATAAAGGAACAATGCCTTCTTTAATCTAAATATTTGGCAAATAGATTAATGCCTCCTTTTAAACTTACATAATAAATTATTTATAGATGAAAAATTCATAATGTGATTATTTTTAAGAAATATCAAATCAACAACACACGGAATTCACATAAAAATTCAAGTGACAATAACACCAAATTATCATATAAAATACAAATTCGACAAACAAGGAATGATGAATAACAAATCAAGGATTTACTAAGTTCCAACAATCTTTCAATTTAATACATAAGGGCGTCTACGAATTTCAACCAATGTAATTTGCACATATAAACCAAGTACGTACTCGTCACCTCGCGTACATGGTTTCAATTACACAATTTTCACATAAGACTTAATGTCTAAGGGGTAATTTCCCCCACTCAAGGTTAGGCAAGATACTTACCTCGTTTCGCAACAAATTTCATGATTCCAATAAACCTTTTCCTCGCGAATTCGTGTCCAAAAGATTCAAATCTAGTCACAATAATTCAATAAACTCAACACGAATCGTAGGAATTAATTCTATATGAATTTGCTAAATTTCACAATTTAAATTCGAAATTAACTCAAAAATTAATAGTGGAGCCCACCTCTCGGAACCCGATAAAAGTTATAAAATATGAACGATCATTCAACCACGAGTCCAACCATACAAAAATTATCGAATTCAGACATCGGATTGACCTTCAAATCTTCATTTTATATTTTTGGAAGATTTTATAAAGATCTGATTTTTCTTCCATAAATTCATGGATTCATGAAACAAATAAGTATGGAATCATGAAATATAATCAATATAGGATAAGGAATACTTACCCCCAATATTTTCCTGTGAAAAATCGCCCAAACATCATCTAAACCGAGCTCCCCAAACTCAAAAATAAGTAAAAATGACAAAACTCCCTGTTTTATGGGATTTTTACTGTTCGGGCGCCACATGTGGCGTGGGGCGCTATTTCCAGAACCTTTAAACATCCCAGCGCCAGGGCTAGCGCCCCACGCTACTCTGGGCGCCGACGGCGACGGAAAATCATTCCCCACACGGAAATGAGCATAACTCTCTTATACGATGTCCGAATATGATGATTCTTTCTGATATGGCTCCGAAATTTCAATACGGATCTAATGCTTCGATTAAAACTAAATTTGGTGCTCATTTGCATAATTTGATACCACGTATTCTTGAAAAATCGATGTCGAAACATTCTATGTTCGATGCCGAAACATAGCAAATCAAGTCCGATTGACTTCAAATTTTGCACACTAGTCATAAATGACATAAGAGACCTATCAAAATTTCTATAACTGGATTCTGACCCCGATATCAATAATGTCGACTCACGATCAAATTTCCAAACCTTCAATTTCCAACTTTCGCCATTTCAAGCCAAAATCAACTACATACTTCCAAATAAATATCCGGACACACTCTTAAGTCCAAAATCACCATACAGAGCTATTGGAATCATAAAAATTCTATTCCGAAATTGTTTGCTCAAAAGTCGATTCTCTGGTCAACTCTTTTCTTTTAAACTTCTTAAATAAGAATTGTTCTCCCAATTTGATCCCAAATCGTCCGAAAGGACCCAAGTGTGTGTGCAAGAACCCTAGCTCCAAAAAACTGACAAAAGCTGCCCATGATGCCAAAGATCTGCCAAAGATTCGTTTTCCTAAGCTAGGTCGTATATTAAATGGTTTGGGGTCAAAAACATGAAATTCCATAACTGCCCAGATTTTTGCTAGATTTGAGTGAATCGCGTTCGCGAAAATAAGCCTACGATCGGAAGAGTGATACTGCAAAGCATCGCGATCGCAAACCAAACCTCGCATTTGCGTAGGGCACCTGACTGCAGCTGGCCATCTTTCTTCTTCGAGTTCGTGGCAATTGCTCCGCGTTAGCGCATCATATTTTTCTGGACTTACGCGATCACATATGAGTCTTCGCGATTGCGAAGAGCATTTTCTGGCACATGTCAATATTTCTCATTTTAACACATTTTGACTTGTTTTCTTCCGTATCTTCTCTAAATCACTTGATACCTGAAATATGCCAATAACCTCAACAAATGCCTTAGTTTCTCAACAAAATCATATAAAAATCTAAGTATCAAGAAGAGATAAGTTGGTAAACTACCAACTTATCATGAAGTCCCACTCAACAACCTAGGGCAATCTCTCTTGATATGACCCAAGTCCCCGCACTCGAAACAACCCCTCCTCTGACGGAGCTGCTGGTCCTGATAACCCGAGGCACTGCCTGCAGAAACCTGAGCAGACGAGGCATGGTCAGAACTCTGTTGTCACAACCAAAACCTCCCTCTATACAACATTGTGACGGCACCTAGTCTCTACGACTAGGTAAGCCTATCAAAACGCGAAAATAACAAAAATGGAAGTAAAACTTAACAACTAACTACAACAGATAACGAAATAACCGGTAGCAATGCCGCTTGGCATGTTTAATAACCAACACTCTAGTAATACACAATATTCCCAAAACCCAGAATATCATAAGTCACAAGCTACAAGAGGAAACTAGTATCTATATACACCAAAGTCTAATAAAAGAAGTATAGGAGGTAATTGACATAGGGGAGAATAGAAAGGGACTCCGAGGTCTGCGGACGCGGTAGATGTACCTTGAAGTCTCCGTACAGAAGCAAGCGCTCTTAGCTAATAGCGGGGTTGATAAGAAGCACCTGGATCTGCACACAAAACATGTGCAGAAGAGTAGCATGAGTACACCACAAAGGTACCCAGTAAGTACCAAGCCTAACCTCGATAGAGTAGTGACGAGGTCAGGTCCGGGCCCTATTGGGATATAATAATAAGACAGAAGATATAATAAAAATGAAGTAAAACTTATAATTTAACAGAAAGAATTTACAGAGAAATAACAACACAACACAATGTGATAACAACAAGGGCGCTCCCGAGGTACCGTCTCGTAGTCCCAAAAGTAAATAATCAATAGGGGATCCCCCGAGATACCATCTAGTAGTCCTAAAATATGCAGGGAGATCTCCCGAGGTACCGCCTCGTAGTCTCAAAAGTAAATGTGCAGGGAGAACTCTCGAGGTACCGCTTCGTAGTTTCAAAAGTAAATGTGCAGGGAGAACTCCCGAGGTACCGCCTCGTAGTCTCAAAAGTAAATGTATAGGGAGAACTCCCGAGGTACCGCCTCGTAGTCTCAAAAGTAAACACACAGCTCAACCGACAAATACAACAATTAACAACAAGAATTCTACAGTTAAGACTTATAAAGATCAAGGAAGAATAGGAAATCAACTAGGCATGTTGCACAGAGTTCAAATAGGTAGTTAAAGCACGTAGACATGTGATATTAGGCTATACAGGATAACTACACATGCTATTATAACTCAATTAAGATGAAAACATGTTGCTACTCAGTAAAGGTCGGGTTTTACAACAAATAGCCCGTGTACGCACTCGTCACCTTACGTACACGTTGCTCATATATCACAACAGTACCAAATCCTAAGGGGATTTCCCCCACACAAGGTTAGGCAAGCCACTTACCTCGAACCAAGCTCAATCAATCAGTAAGAATGCCCTGTCATCGATTATCCGACTCCAAATGGCCCAAATCTAGCCAAAAACAATCACATATCATAAATACAACTATAATAGACTAATCTAATTAATGAAATCAAGACAAAAATTCCGAAATTCGTCCTAAAAGGTCGACTCGGGCCCACGTCTCGGAATCGGGTAAAAGTCACAAAATATGAACACCCATTCACTCACGAGTTCACTCATACCAAAATTATCCAAATCCGATATCAAAATCCCAATCAAAACTCTAAAACTTAGTTGAAGAACTTCTCCTAGTTTTCCTAATTTTCTCAACCAAATTCCCAATTTAAATGATGAAATCAACTATAGATTAGTGGAATATAACCATAAACTAGTTAAGAATCATTACCCCAAAGTTCTCTCTGAATAATTCTTAAATTTATTGCCTTAACCCGAGTTCTCAAAGTCACAAAATTGAAAATGGGATACAACCCTCAAACTTGGCCTTTTCTGCCTAGCGAATTCGCACCTGCGGGCTTCCAGTCGTACCTGCGATGCCGCACCTACGGAATTTCCATCGAAGGTGAGGAAATGACTAAGGTAACTGGGACCGCTTCTGCGATCAGGTTGCCGCACCTGCATGTGCGCACCTGCGGACAATGGTCCTCTTCCGCGGTCTTCCTCCGGGCCTGCGGTTTCTCTAGCGCATCTGCGGACATCGCAAATGCAACATTTTCCTCACAACTGCGACCCCTGACCAAACCTCACAACTCCTCTTCTGCGCTCCTCGATTCGCACATACGTGTCCGCACCTACGGCTAACCTCACCGCAGGTGCGATGACACCAGAAGCTGAAAAACTTCAGCAGTTACACAAGTCCAATTTTCGATCTGTTAAGCATCTGAAACACACCCGAGGCCCCCGGGACCTCAACCAAACATACCAACAAGTCCTAAAACACCATACGAACTTAGTCGAGACCTCAAATTACATCAAACAATGCTAAAAATACCTTCCAATTCAAACTTAATGAACTTTGAAACTTCAAACTTCTACAATCGATGTCGAAACCAATCAAACCACGTCCGATTGACCTTAAATTTTGCACACACGTCATATTCAACATTATGGACCTACTCCAACTTACAGAATTGGAATATGACCCTGATATCAAAAAGTCCACTTTCGGTCAAACTTCCCAAAAATTCAACTTTTGCCATTTCAAGCCTAATTCAGCTACATACCTCCAATTCACAATTAGGACACTCTCCTAAGTCCAAAATCACCCAACAGAGCTAACGAACATGACAAAACTGCATTCTAGATTCGTTTTCCCATAGTTCCGACTATGGTAAAAATCCTAGAACTTAAGCTTCAGCTTTATGGACTAAGTATCCCAAATCACTCTGAAACCACAAACAAAACCTCCCGACAAGTCACATAAGTAGAAAAAGATACGGGGAAAGCAGTAAATAGGGGATCAGGGCTATTACTCTCAAAACGAATGGCTGAGTCGTTACATCCTCCCACTCTTAAAATAATCGTTCGTCCTCGAACGAGCATATAGACATACCTGAAGTGGTGAAAAGATGAGGATAATGGCTGCGCATATCATGCTCGGTCTCCCAAGTAGCCTCCTCGACCGGCTGACCCCTCCACTGAACCTTCACGGAAGCAATGTTCTTTGACCTTAGCTTTTTTACCTGCCTGTCCTATATAGCCACTGGCTCCTCGACATAAGATAAATCCTTGCCCAACTGGAATGAGAAGAAATCCACCACATGAGACAGATCGTCTTGATACTTTCGAAACATAGAAACATGAAATACCGGATGGATTCATGTTAGGTTGGGAGGCAAGGCATGCGCATAAGAAACCTCCCCAACACACCGCAACACCTCTAATGGGCCAATAAACCTTGGGCTCAACTTGCCCTTCTTTTCTAACCTCATAACACCCTTCATGGGTGACACCCGGAGTAGGACCCGTTCTCCAACCATGAATGCAACATCGTAAACCTTCCGATTTGTATAACTCTTCTGTCTTGACTGGGCTGTGCGAAGTCGATCCTGAATCACCTTAACCTTCCCAGAGCATCTTGGACCAAGTCTGTACCCAATAACCTAGCCTCGCCCGGCTCAAACCAACCCACTGGGGACCGACACCGCCTACCATACAAAGCTTCATACGGTGCCATCTGAATGCTCTACTGATAACTGTTGTTGTAGGCAAACTTCACAAGTGGCAAGAACTGATCCTACAAACCTCCAAACTCCATCATACATGCATGGAGCATATCCTCTAATATTTGAATAGTGCGCTCGAACTGTCCATCTTTCTGAGGGTGAAATGTTGTGCTCAACTCTACTCGAGTACCCAACTCCTGCTGTACGACCCTCTAGAACCGTGATGTAAACTGCGTACCCTGGTCAGAGATGATAGATACCGGTATGCCATGAATCCTAACAATCTCGCGGATATAAATTCGAGCCAACTGCTCGGAGGTAGTCATCATAGGAATGAAATGAGTTGACTTGGTCAGCCTATCCACAATCACCCAAACTATATCAAATTTTCGCTGAGTCCGTGGAAGCCCAATAACGAAATCCATAGTGATCCGCTCCCATTTCCACTCCGAAATCTCTAACTTCTGAAGCAATTCACCTTCACACCGATGCTCATACTTTACCTGCTGGCAATTCAGACACTGAGCTACATATTCCACTATGTCCTTCTTCATTCTCCTCCACCAGTAATGCTGCCTCAAGTCCTGATATATCTTCACGGCACTTGGGTGAATGGAGTACCGTAAACTGTGAGTCTCCTGGAGAATCAACTCACGCAGACCATCTACATTGGGAACACATAGCCTGCCCTGCATCCTTAGTGCACCATCATCTGGAAGTATCACGATGATCCGTCCTATGTTTTAGATTTCAGCTCTGTCCAGCTAGATAAGGATTTGACTTACGAGGAGGAGCCGATGTCTATTTTAGCTCGACAGGTTCGTCAGTTGAGGTCGAAGAGTTATCCTTCTGTTCGAGTGCAGTGGATAGGTCAGCCCATCGAGGCATCTACCTGGGAGTTTGAGTCGGACATGCGGAGTAGATATCCCCACCTTTTCACTAGTTCAGGTACTTTTCTATGTTCGTTCGAGGACGAACGATTATTTTAGAGGTGGAGAATGTGATGACCCAAAAGGTCATCTTATGTGTTAGAACCCAATTCTGCATTTTTAAGCTTCAAACACCTCGTTTTATCCTTCCTTGATTTGCGTACGCAGTCTGGGCATGTTTCCCGAGAGCTGTTATGTTAAAAACTGAGAAAAATAAGAATTTTTGCCTACAAACTTCATTTGAGTTGACTTCGGTCAACATTTTTAGTAAATGGACCCAAATTCGTGTTTTGACGGTCCCGATGGGTCCGTACAGTGATTTGGAACTTAGGCGTCTGGACGGAATCGAATTCGGAAGTCCCGAGCCCGGGATATCGGACTTTGTCGAAATTTGAAAGTTAAAGGCTTAACGAATTTGAAATGTTTGACCAAACCTTGACTTTTTGGATAGCGGGTTGTGACTCCAGATCCTAAATGTTTCGGATATTACGGGTTTATATTATTTCGCAAAGCTGTTTTAGTTTCTATTTTAGCTTAACTACTCTTATTATTGAAAATGGCTAAAATTGGCATTAAAAATCCTCTAACGTTGGCTTGCCTAGCAAGTGAAATGTTAGGCGCCATCAAGGTCCCGACGGTGGGAATTCCAGGTCATGACAGAGGTGATGAGAGTCCGTACGTAGCTACTAATTATGCTATTGTCCGGGGTAGTCTAGGACCCTTATCATGCTATACCTGCAATGTTTGCCCCTACTTGATAACATAATTGCTTAAGTCATATTGAAATTTGATATAAGAGCTGTAAAAGGTTAAATTTCACTTACTTGAAGTTGTGAATGGAACACTTGACTGTTATTGAAAATTTGTGTTTATTTAAAGTATTTTCTTTTCCGGAGCAGGCCGAACGCCTCGGTAGCAGATAGATGCATCTATGGTTCATGCCGTTCGACCCTCGACATTGCACATTTTAAATATTTATGTTGGAACGGGCCGTATGACCTCGATATTGTTTGCGCATGATAAATCTTTGGAATTATTAATATTTGTTATTTCTTCATTGGCTTGAGATATAAATTGTTAAATGACGAAACCAGATATGGAGATTTCCTAAATAATAAAAGAAATGTTTACTTACTTAATGATTATTGAGCCTCCCGCTATTTAATATAATTCATGTTTAATTATAATATTAGAATTTTATTGATATCCCATAGTGAGTGTCGAAGTCGACCCCTCGTCACTACTTCTTTGAGGTTAGACGGGATGCTTACTGGGTACACGTTGATTTACGTACTCATACTACACTTGCTTCACATTTTTGTACAAGTGCATTCATGTTTAGCGGCCTTGTGAGAGCAGAGGCGTGTATGCATACAGAGACTTAGGTGAGCTGCACTCCATATTATGACCCGCAACCAGCAGAGTCTCCTTCAAAGTATTTGTCTTTCCCCTGGCCAATTTTTATTCCTGACAGATGTTGTATTTTGTTTTATATTCTTAGATGATGCTCATGCACTTGTGACACCGGGTTTTGGGGTGATTATGGGTTGTCATGTATTAAAATTGTAAAAAGTATTATTATTTACTCTATAAATTCTATCTTTTACTAATTAATTGAAGGAAAATATGATTTCTAAAATATTGAAATGGGAACCAAATTAAGCATTTACTGTTGGCTGGCCTGACAGTGGCGTCCGGCGCCATCACGATCTTTAATGGATTTTGGGTCATGATAACATGGTATCAGAGCCCTATGTTCACATAAGTCTGACGAGTCATTAGCAAGTCTAGTAAAGCCTTACGTATCGGTATGGAGACGTCGGTGCTCATCTTCAAGAGGATACAAGGCTGTTAGGAGCACTTCCCTTTTTGATTCCTCATCATGCAACTTGATTCCTTTGAGGCTTATGCCTTCATTTCTTTCCTATTAAATCTTATGCGATGCAAAGTGCTTGTTATCAATTGGGAATCAAGGAATTGTAATGGTACTGCAGAGGTGGTGCAGGATGTTTCTCGCTGTGTATTTGATTGGGCTATTGTTGTCGCCTTGCGAAAGGTCGTCCTATCGTTTTAGCCTAGTATCAGTATTAACTAAGGTTTTGAGATTTGGCATTGATTGTTATGATGATTTGTGCGTTGCTTTTGCACATTGTTTGTGTAATGGTAGGATGCTTGTCAAGGCGTCGATGCAGTGAATGATCTGAAAGGAGGTTTTACTAAGTGCACTATTCAGAGATTCAGTATTTTATTTCAGGCGGAGGAAAGGCAATCTGACTGGGAATGTTTAGGTTTGGGTTGATGGTGTAACAAGGCTTGGTATTTTTGAGCGTGGTAGAGTTCTCAATTGTGATGTGGTGTCATCGTCCTTGTTGAACGCGTTAAGGTTCGCCAATGTTATAGCCTTCTTCAATTTGCCTTAGGGGAAAGGTATTGGGAAATGGTTCCTGAGATGCGGTTGTCAGAGATAGCGGTGTGTAGCGGTTTTGGGATAGAATTAGTGTTTCTAATGTTGATGGCTCGAGAAAGATGATCTTCAGGGAGGCTTAGAGTTGGTAGAAATTGGTCAGATCAAGTGCCGCAGAGATGGATTTTGCTTTGAGGCAGTATTTGGGCAGGGAAGGATGAGGAAGGACATGTGGGAGTCGTCTTGCGGTGGTTAAATTTCTAGAAGGCCAGGGGTAAGAAACATGAGTCGGGTAATTGCTTAAAGGAGAGGGCTTGACCAAAGTGGAAGAGTAGCATATGGGTTCCATGGTAGGATAACTACACATCTTGAAAAATGTTTAGAGTGATTTGGGATTTATGGTGGACAGTGACTAGGTTTACAGACTAATTTGGAATATTGGCTACTATACTGAGGAAGATTGGATACGACAGGAAGAAGTTGCTTGATATGAAGAGGGATGCAATATGACTTCGGATTGGGATGTATTGTCGCACCTGTAGTTGATGAATGAGCACAGGCTCGAGAGGTTTTATTGGTTTCGTAGTAATTGTACTCGGTGCAACATCGTCAAAAGAGGTCGGCATGGAATTTCCACAGGTGGGATATCTCATGTGAGGAGTTTAGCGGTTGCGTGGTGTTGATGAAGCTTCTATGAAGAATTTTACTGGCTATCCGGTAAGAGGTCGAATATGTAAAGTGATTTAGAGTGTTCATGAAATGGTTAACAGGAAGATTTCAAGGAATTTAGCGGGTCGATTGTGCGAGGTCATGTCAATGAAGAATAAGGAATCTTGGTAGGTTCCAGGGTTATAAAATTGTAGCTTCAAGCTAAGTGGGAGAGCCCCACCGCCTACGATTGGATTGCATGGCTGTCTACTTGTGAGGTTTCTGGTTATCAGTGTATTGGTGGGTTATTACAACTAAGGAAAGAAAATATCAATGGTAATTTGAGCAAAGGATTCGAAGAATGTGTGCTATACTTGGGCCTTATCGATTCATGTTCAGTTTTGAGAAGACTCAGAATTTCTGCTTCCAGTGGGAGTAATGTACAAGGGAAAGGAATTCAACCGAGTACTTCGATGAGAGGGTGTTCACATGCTATCAGGGCCTTGGAGTTTGATTATATTCGTGACCAAGACAGAGTGGGTGACTCTCATCAACGATCCTAGTGGATTCAAAGGTTAAAATGCGGTCCCTAAGGATTTCGAGCCCGTAGTATGGTTATGTATTGAGCTTTTGTAGTGGGTTATAGAAAGGGGGCTTGGAGTGTTCTATGTTCTA